AAATAAAAGAAAATAAAATGATCAGAAATATGTAGCACAAATAATAAGAATCCAGAGACAGATATTGGGGTTCAAGCCAAAAGATCAGGGAAGCAAAGCAGCCAACCCCTAGAGAACTCTTATCTCTATGATATCTTCAGACTGAAAAGAGAGCGAGTTCCTGTTTCATCCTGCCTTATATTCCTCTCTAGTTCTGGGATTAGAGGCATTCACCACCACCACCACCACCTGGCCTGTATGGTGTGGCTAGCTTTGCACTCTGATCTTCAGGCAAGCTCTATTTGTTAGATCATAAGCAAAATATCACTATAGATATGCATCTTTTAAGTGAGATGGTGAAACTATTTCTAAAACTTTTTTCAGTTGGTTTAGTCTTTTGTGAATAAATAATATTCATTGCTGCAATGAAGTGGTATTAAGGATTGCTGTGTGTCTGTATGGTACTGGGGCTTCAGCCCAAGCTTTTGCCACTGTAGGCAAGTGTTCAAACCTAACCTTCTCCTTCAAAACTTTTCTGAGATAGAGTCTCGATCAGTTTGCATGCTTAGGCCTGCTTCTGCCTTCTAAGTGATGAAAATACAGGAGTACATTTGTACTTGGCTGAGCAGTCTGCTCCCACTGTTTATTGGATGGTAAAATAGTTTTCATCAGTGCAGTTATTTGAATGCTATCATAAAAATGGCACATCAGCTGATTATTTGATTAAGCTCTTCATTATTGTTGAAAGCAAAACTTAGAAACCCCTAGGCTAGCTGATCACAGTTATCAGAGGTATGGAATTCTGGGAGGTATACTTTGAAAATCTCTTAAGGCTCTTGCCTTAGTCCCCTAATTCCCCTAATGCTGGACATCAAACCTAGGACTTCTTACAAATTAGGTTTGATCATTTGTATTTACCTTGGTTATGAGGGATTAACTAAATCAGGTTATTGAGGTGAGATGTTCCATCCTGAATGTGGTAGCATTCCATGATCTGAAGATTTGTACTGCATAAAAAGAAGCTAGCTGAGTGTAAACATCTGCCATTCTGCTTCCTGTCTGTGGATGTAGTGTGACCAGAAGCCTCACTCTCACTCCTACTGCCATCCTTAATATGATGGACTTCCTCAACTTGTGAGCCAAGTAAGCCCTTTCTTCTAAGGGTTGTTTGAACAGGTATTTTTACCACAGCAGTGAGGAAAGTAACTAAGACCCTGGGAAAAGGGTTTCCTACGTAGCTGGATTACACACATTATTGGTCTTGTCTCAGAGGCATCACGCTTGCCTGAATAGTTCACAAAGTGTTGGGGAAGAGTTGATTTGTTAAGCTCAGTATGGCTACGTCCAATGGTTTTTCTTGATAAACAGTTATGAATAAACATTTATTTTAAAAAATGTCCATTTTAAGGGTGCCTGTTTTCCATCGTTTTTGGCAAAGCTTGTTTTCCCTGTCAGACTAATCAGATTTGCTCTTACAATAGAAAGAGTCTGACTTCATTTTTATTATTTATGTCTGTGTGTATCTGACTTATGCAAATGTGTGTGTAGACGCCTGAAGAGGTGAGCAGAAGGAGCTGGAGTAACTCTATGTGTGAGCTGTCTAACATGGTTGCTGGGATCCAGACTCAAGCCCTCAGGACAGAGCAACAAGTATTCTTAAACAGGCAGCCTTCTCTCCAGCCAGACATTATTTCTCAGTTAAAAGAGATGTGATAATTTACATGCTCTTGTAATGACTTCCCTTGCTCCCTCTTCCCCCTTTCCCTCCTATCTCCTCCTTCCCCTCATTTTCTCTCTTTCCCCTTTTCTCCTGAATTGAGAGTTTCACCATGTTCCTCAGGCTGTTTTGTTTTTTTTTAATAATTTATTTAAATTTATTTTATGTGCTTTGGTGTGAAGGTGTCAGATTCCCAGGAACTAGAGTTACAGACAGTTGTGAACTACCATGCCGGTGCTGAGAATTGAACCTGGATCCTCTAGAAGAGCAGTCAATGCTCTTAACTGCTGAGTCGTCTCTAGCCATGCCCAGGCTGTTTTAAACCCTCACCTTAAATTACTCTTCTCTTTCAGCATCCTGAGTAGCTGGGATTATAGTTTCTGGTTTACTGATACATGCTGCCTGTTTCTAACTCAGGGCTTCCCACATGCTAGGCAAGTACTCTATCATATCCCTGTGACAGTTAACACTAATTTTCAATCTAGTAGAATTTAGAATTACTTAGGAGACAAGCCCCTGGGCACCCCTGGAAGAGATGCTCTCGGTCAGGTTAATACCCACCTTGACTGTGGTGGATTCCAGCCTAGAGCGAATGCTTGCTAACTGTGGTCACAATGTGACCAACAGCGTCTAGCTCTGCCAGCAGGACTTTCCTGCACGGTCAATGATACACACCCTCTAATGTGAGCCCAACACAACTTCTCAGAGTCTCTTTCACAGCAACAGGGCGGGTGGGTTACTGAGAACCCCTATGGCCTGTCTTTTGATATTTAATTCTTGTTCCATAGGAGAGAGAGCCAGGAGCCTAGTTTGAAGTTTGTTGCCTGGGACAAATTAGTCTGTTTATGTTTTGAAACTCTCAGCTTTGTTTAGTAGAACTTTTCTGAAAAGTAATACATTTTTTATTAAACACAGCACAGACATAAACTTTTTAGATGAGAATCGTCAATTTCTTTTTCACTGTTGTAGGTATCTGAATATAAAACATTATAACCAGAGTTCCTCATTTCTAACTTATAATTGTATACTTTACAGAAATATTGTAACAGAAGGATCTATAGTTAGCTTGTAGTGCATTAAAATTTTTTTAAAATGTCTTTTATGTATGAGTGCTCTGTCAGCATGTATGCCTGCACTCCAGAAGAGGGCATCAGATACCATTATAGATGACTGTGAGCCACCATGTGGTTGCTGGGAACTGAACTCAGGACTACGGAAAGAACAGTAGTCAGTAAAGATCAGTTCTCCTAACTGCGGAGTCATCTCTCAAGCCCCTAGTTTGTAGTGCTTTCACAAACCCTCCTCTGCCCCTCCTGACAAGTTTCTCTGTACGGCCTTGACTGTCCTGGGACTTTCTCTGTAGACCAGAATGGCCTAGAACTCACAGAGATCTGCCTGCCCCTGCTTCCCAAGTGCTGGGATTAAAGGCGTGTGCCACCACTGCCTGGCCGAAATTCTTTATGACCTAAATATTATGGACTGTTCTTTGTTTAGAACCTCAGAGTTGATTTTTTTTTTAAATTTTAAATTCTCGACAGTATAATACAGGTCCATTCAGAACAAACAGGTCTAGTGAATAATAGTACTTGTTTGTGAAAGAGAAAGGAAAAAAAATATCTACATTTCTTTTCTGCTTAGACCCCTGTTCCCTTGTTATGGAGATAGAGAAAACATAAAACATAACAGGCATGAACAGTGGAGTTGATAACCTGGAAGTTGTTGGTTGTCTGTTTCTGTGAAGACTTCAGAAGAAAAGTCTTTTTATCTCCAGTAGTACAAATGAAAGATGCCTGTTATAGCACTGATAGCAAGCTATGGTTTTGTTGATAGGAAAACCAAGATAAAGGAGTGAGGCTCCTGTCTGTGGTCAGCAAATGGCTGAGTTGAAAATTCCTGCTCAGTGGTGGATTGCTTGTTGTGCAAATGTGAGGACCTGATTTTTTGATCATTGTACCTAGATAATAAGCTGACTTTAGTCTCATGACCACTTATAAAGCCAGCCCTGTGGATACTGCAGATAGGAGGATCTCTGGGATACACTTGCTGCCAGTCTAACTGAAAACCTCCAGCCCCAGGTTCAGGGATAGTCTATGCCTCAATAATAGAGGAAGATAGTTTGCACCCTCCCCGAGCCACTTAATGTATGTACAGGCATGCACACTCAGGCGCATATGTACATTTAACAGATCCCCACCCACACCTACTAACAACAGCAACAAAAACCATCAGCCAGGCCTGGTGGGGAAGGCTCATAATCCTAGGTTCTCTGGAGGCTGAGACAAGAGTGCTGCAAGTTCCAGGTTTGCTTGGGCTACACAGTAGGTTTAAGGCTAGCCTAGGCAACTCAGTGAGAACCTTTTACCTGGACTACACAGTAGGTTTAAGGCTAGCCTAGGCAACTCAGTGAGAACCTTTTACCTGGGCTACACAGTAGATTTAAGGCTAGCCTAGGCAACTTAGTGAGAACCTTTCTGATAGTGAAAGGGGAAAAGTGGGCACTTGCTTAGCATGTATGTGGATATATGTGTTTGGGGAGCAATGGGGTGGATATGAAAACTTATGCCACTCTTATTTAGTACATAGCTTGGTACATTGTTGGGGGAGGCTGCTTGTTCATTTCCCAACCGCCCTGACTTGAAATAATCACGCAGAATTATTTAAATCACTGCTTGGCCAATCAATTAAAGCATATTGCTAGCTAGCTTTTATATCTTAAATTAACCCATTTCTATTATTTTATATTTTACTATGAGACTCATGGCCTACATCTGGTGGCTCACATCTTTCTCCTCTGGCTGCTATATGACTTCTTGACTCCACTTTCTTTCTCCCAGCATTCAGTTTAGTTTTCCTGCCTTATTACAGTCAACACAGTTTCTTTATTCATTAACCAATAAAAGCAACACATATACAAAAGCACTTCTCACACCAGTACATGGTAAATTTTTGTGAGCTTTGAAAACTTTAACACTGGACTTGGTAGTTGAATTTGAAACTGAAGAGCGTACTGCTACATGTGATTCACTGCAGAGGAGTACCAAAGTTGTTTTCAGCACACGGTCAGATTGATGTCTCCAAGTCTGCCCTGGGGAGACGTCAGAGCAGTGACTAATACAGTAAGGAGCCAGCTGCTTGGACATTGTTGATGTTTTGTCAGTTATAGCAGAGACATACACAGTGTTCTAGTGCTCAGAACCCCACAGATTGTACACTCCGGTTTGATTGGATGGCCTACAGTCAAATGAATCTTGAGGCAAATATGTTTGTATGATTATCTGACTAGTGTGTTGTTTCTTTGTTGCAGATATTCTCTGAAGCCAAATGATCAGATTTTAGCTGAAGACAAGCACAAGGAATTGTAAGTTCATTAAACCTCAGTTGTACATGCTCTATGAATTAGATGTATGTAAGCCACTTGATTTAAAAATTATATACAACCTATGGCTGTAATCATAGTGGATTAGGGTAATTTGTCCTGTATAATTTGTGTTATATCAAATGAACCCCGGGATAATTGTTTGTGATACCCATTGAAATAGGTCAAACTGTATTTGATTTTCTAGATTACATGTATGTTTAGAAATACATTATTTCTTTTTCTTTCCTTGGATAAAACATGAAATTCATGGTTAATTTTGTAGTTTTATTCAGGTGTTTTATTTTAGCACTTGCTAAAGATGAAGAAACATGATTTTATTTCTTTTATAGCTTTATACAAAAGTAAACACCTGTCTATTGTTTAGAATAAACTTCAAACACGAAGTTTGAAAGATGAACACTTTTAAATTTTTAGTGTATTTCTTGTAGACTTTTTTTAACTTTTGAGAAATACCATGGAATGCTGGGATATTTTCTTTACATCTTCCTACTGGAAGGTGATATTTTAAAGATTACCACCTGACATGGACTGTCAGTATTTTAGTTACAAATAATCTGTTTGGGAAATTTGAAACCTACGTCAGTCTTTTAAATAGAATTGTCTAAAGATGGAAGCTTTAAACGTTTTATATGGTTCTATTTTGTTTTAGCTGGTCTATTTTCTCCATTGTTCAGTAAGTAAATGCTGGTAATATTGAATATTATATAAACAGCCAACATCAACACTATAAAAGGAAGAATTAAAGAACTTGAATTCTAATTATATCCTTAGGTTACACCTTATTACTTACTCTGCATATTAATTAGGTCTCTATCCAACTTATAATTATTGATTCTCCAAAGTACCTTGAAAATTTTCTTTGTATATTAGATACACTTTAATGTTAAACATTTTTATTAATTAACTAACTAGTTATTGCTATGTACCCTGACTGCTTTTGAACTCAGGGTAACCCTCTGCCTGCCAGTGCTGGAATTACAGGTTAACAGAAGAGAGACACAACACCCTTCATATCTAACTCAGATACATCTTGATTTATTTAATTTGGTCCTTATTTGTATACACAGCATATATGCAGTATGTACTGTTGCTGTGTAACATTTTAATCATCTGCTATTCAGTTTGTTTTAACATTTATTTAAAAGTTTGTCAGCTGTCCAAGATACAGTTCAGAGCTTGTTCAGAACTTGTTCCATGTTCAGAGCTTGACTAGTAACTTTTCCTGCAATTTCTTATGAAAAATAATTTCTAACTTTCAGTTTTACTTGATACATAAAAATAGAACTATGGAAATATTAAGCATGTAGTATACATTTACCCACATATTCACCTTTGGATTTCCTCACTAGGATTTTATTGTACTTTTTTTTTTTTAAACACTTTCATATTTTGTCTTCATTTCATTTTATTAATTTGTCTACTTATTTATTTTTGGATTTATTTCAAAGTAAGTTTCAGATGTTAGAATACTTCCCTCTAATAGTTAAGAGGTTTGTTTGTTTGTTTGTTTTTTGTTTTGTTTTTTTGAGAGACATAGTTAGCCCTGTGTAACAGCCCTAATTGTCCTGAAACTAGCTCTGTAGACCAGGCCGACTTCCAACTCACAGAGATCACCTGCTTCTGCCTCTCAAGTGCTGGAATTAAAGGCATGCACTACCATCGCCTGGCCTCTTCTAAAAATAAAAAATACTAAAATTTTGAATAAGTGAAATCATAAGTGTGACTTAGATTTTTAATAAGGTCTTTTTAAATTTCCCTTCTTTGTTTCTTTTTCTTCTCTCCTGTCTCCCTCGTTTGGCATAGACTTTTACTGAGTAGCCGTGGCTGTCTTAGAACTTTCTTTGCATACTACCATGCTGGCCCTAAACTCACAGAGATCCACCTGCCTCTGCCTCTTGAGTGCTGGCATGATAGACATGTACCACTATGCCTGACTATCACTTTGTTTTGAGGTAGATCACTATTGTTGCATGCATCATTTAATTCCCTTTTTATTATTGATTAAAATTTATTATTAAAATTTATTACTTTTTATTATTATTAGCATGGGTTTAAACAGGGTTTCTTTGTGTAGCCCCGGCTAGCCTGGATAGTATGACATTTTTATCTGAATAGTTTGTCTGTTCTTTATTGGTTAGTATTGACAGTTGGGTGACTGTCTATTTTCTGTCATGTAGTTTTTGTCATGTAGTTTTTTTTGACATCTGCCCTAACAAAAACTCCCAATTGAATACGAATAGAATCTTGTATTAAAATTCATTATCAGCTCTTCATGAAAGATGTTCATAAATAATCTCATTTTTGTCTTCAAAATTGAAATAGTCAGAATTCTCACTGAGAAGGTAGAAATGCTAATCACTCTGGTTTGGTCATTGCACATTGTGAGCATGTTTTGGACTGCTAAGTTTTAATGTGTCCTATAATTATGAATATTTTATATCTATTAAAGGCTCAAATCTCTTTGTGCCCAAGACTAAGTCTTTTAAAATATATGAGCTATAGATAGAAAGCAAATTTTATGGCTAAGAAGACAGCCCAGTGAGTAAAGAGCTTGCTGAGCCAGCATGAGCCCCTGGGTGTGAGTCCTGAGAACACATGAAGAGTTCCCCAAAGCTTGTGGGGCAGTAAGATGGTTCTGCTCAGAGGCAAACCCAAAGAGAGAGTCTGCTTAAAATAAGGTGGACATGATGGCCTGCCCCTGAGCTTGTCCTCTGACCTCCACATATTTGCTGTGGTATATATATACTTGCACTTAACATACATGTACAGTACATATGTACACACATACTTGTATAAACATACATGGAAATAAAAACCCAAAATATAATTATCTAATTAATGATGTACATATTATTGTCATAAAACACTATTATTGTTTTATTTGAAATAATGAGCTCATTATGATATTGTTAAAGGAAAACCTGTGAATGCCATCATATTACTCATGTACCTACAGTGTGCCCTGATGCAGTGTATACAGAAGAGCTGTCAGTATACTGATAGTCTGTATTGTTTTATATGGAATAACTATGCTTTTTTATTAAAAATAGTCTTAATTCCCAAATCCGATGAATCAGATTCCATAAACAGTCACTCTTGCTTCATGGACACCCTCCCAACCTCTTCCTGGAAAACCCACTTGTCACACGGGAAAAAGTTTCTCAGCAGTGACATTTGTTTCTCTAAGCAGAAGGATTTTTCTTGTTTCTATGCACTGAATACTCTGCTCTAGGGGATAACTTTAAGCTAGGAAAATAGAATAGTTGCAGTTGTGATGTGATTAATCTAAACTATGGAGTTCATGCTTGGCTCTGCGAATAATTCCATAATGAAATTGGTTATTAGTTTTCTATGGGTTTTTTTCTTTATTGCAATCTTAGTTTTATAAATGAAATAGCCTGAAATAAGAAAAATGTCACATTGTTTAACTGAATAGTGTTTTTTCTCTGCTTGCACCAGATATTGTGTGTGAGTACAACACGTCTATGAAAAAGTACCGAGAACAAACTTCAGGAGAGAATGGTTTATTTTGGCTCACAGGCTCAGACTTCAGTCCAGGTGGCTTGGCTTCACGCCTGTGGGACTGTGGCAGACACAGGGTGGTATGAGGGTGTGGTAGAGGAACGGTGTGCTGGGGAGCCAGCAGGAGGTTCAGAGACATTCCGAGGGAGACAGCGGGATGAAGGTGGGAGGGAGGGCGAGTGAGAAAGGACACTTGCTAGGAACGTTATATTAATTTTATGGACATGCCACCTCCAACAAGGCCCCACGTCTTCCTACTTTTATCACCTCTCAGTAATGCTCTTAAAGTCTCAACCCAGTGAGTAAAGTAGGGTAGTCCTTGGATTAAGATAGAGTTCCTGTGATTCATCCATGATCCAAAAGTCTCATTTTAGAACATTTCATTGGGGATCAAGCCTTCAACAAATGCCACAAACGCCAGGGGCCGGGAAGTTGCATTTTACTCCCATGCCATACTATCGCACTAGGCACTACCCAAAAACTCTATATAGTTCTTTGTGTATCTATCCTATCTTAATAAAGTTACTGAAAAAGTGAAGGATACGAACTTCATTTGTAGATACTCACTAGTTTTTCTTATTTTTGCATAGATCTGCAATGTAGAATATAGAACTATTTTTACACAAATATATTTATTTTATAAATGTATAAATTTTATATTGCTTTGAATATGAATAGTTATTGAGATTTGATCATGAAGATTCATGTAAGAAAAGTTAATAGTTGCTAAAGTTATTACTGAAAACTTATCTCTACTACTTAATAGGGATAGACTAAAGTCGATAGCTGTTTTTTTCCCCCCTACTTTGCTATACTCTACAAGGCAGGGGAAATATCTCTTAAAGGGACTTAGATCTATTTGCTTGACTCTTTAAGACAGATACTAAGGTAAAGCCTAATACCTCATTTTGTTATGAATGTGATGAGAGTCATTTTAATAAAAGTGACCTGTTAGAGGTTAATATACCCATTTAATGACAGTACTGAACCAGAAGCTGGCCTCCTGATTCCCACTGAAATGCTTTGTTTGTTTGTGTTTTAGGGAGGGGGAAGGTGGGGGATTGCATCAAAAAGCACCCTAAACATGCAGTAATTTTATTTATTTTTGAAGATTTTATTTTGTGTGTATGAGTATTTTACTAGCATGTTTATGTATGTGTGCCACATATGTGCAAGGTCCCTGTGGAGGCTAGGTGGGGATCTCAGGTTGTCTGGACCTGGAGTTACCCATGGTTATAAGCTGCCCTGTGGGTGCTGGGAACTAAGTCCCAATCCTCTCACGAACATCAGGTGCTCTTATGCGCTGAGTCAGTTTTCATGCTCTTAGACAGTAATTCTAAAAGACGGTCAATATTAGCTTTAGTAACCGATAAGAATGAACATAATATCTTGTTGCCTAAATTAATATCACAGGACCAATTTGTGATTTTAGAAATCACCTTAGACTTAGAACCAATACTACGTGCGTTGTAGAAAATCAACCAAGTATTGTATATGTTTGGCTTCCAAATTAAAGACACTTAAAATTCTTCAAAGGTGAGGCAAAAGTAAATAGGTTTATGTCAGATTCATACAGAAATCTTTTATGCTTATGAGGTGGTAGACTCATAATTGAATCGTGTTATACTCTACACCTTGTACCTGTATTTTATGTGAAATAATGCTGAGCCTCTTTTGTGTTTTTCATTTCCTTGAGGATCTGACTTAGGGCCTCATAATTGGCATCTTTGTTTGCCTTGTTCTCCTTTCTCCAAACCATGCCAGACTTTTTCCATCTTAGTTTTTTTGATTCTGTGCATGTAACTTCATTGGAAAATTTAGCCTAAGGTACCAGTCTCCTTTATGTAAGAGACATTTATTCATGTATGTTGTTTGTTTATATGTTTGTTTCCAATGGTGGGGACCAAACCTGTCCTTAGGGGTACAAGCAAACACTCTTAACACTGAACTACATCCCATCTGGACACAGAATTGTATTTTAAAATTGACTTTCTATGTAGTCTTAATCTTTGCTGTGTTGCTTTTTAAATTAGTCTGAAAAACTCCTTTGGGTGGTTGGTTCTTATGAAGCTGCTACCCTGGGAATAAATACTCAACCTGTGTTAGTTAGATTCCTGTGGTCTGTTCTTGCTGATTCCATCAGATGCCTTCTTTTTGGATCCAGACTAACATCAAGTGGGGTCATTTAAGTCTTAAGCATTTCCCACAAATGATCCAATCTTTTCTTATAAATTTAATGTTGGGATCTAAGAAGCTGTATCTAAAGGGATTACTAAATAAGTGAAAATAAGGGTAATAATAGCAAATCATTAATCTAAAACCAAAGTGTTGTTTGAGAGACAGCTTTTTAAAGCCTGTACAAAAGGCTCTCAGTACTCAGGAGTCTGAGGCAGGAGGATTGTGTGTTCCAGGTCAACTTGGGCTACATAAACTTCTGAACCAAGAAAGGCATTATGAACATCACCATGTGCACATACCTACAAGCATACTTTTATACATTTACATAGTTTTATTGTTTTTAAGATTTATTTATTTTTATGTGCATTGGTATTTTGTCTGCATATATGTCTAAGTGAGGGTATTGAATCCTCAGAACTGTAGTTACAGACAGTTTTGAGCTGCCATGTGGGTTCTTGGAATTGAACCTGGGTCCTCTGGAAGAGCTGCCAATGTTCTTAACCCCTGAACCATCTTCCAGACCCTGCATATTTAAATTTTTAATGTGCATAGTTTTGTCTCAGCTGCATTGAATCCCTTTAAAAGGGATTATATATATATATACATATATATATATATACACACTCTTCTTTTATATGTGTGTGTGTGTGTGAATTTATCCTCTACTTATGTGTATACCACATGTATGCAATACCTCCAGAAGTCAGTAGAGGGTGTCAGATCCCCCAGAACTGAAGTTCGTTATTGTGAGCAGTCACGTGGGTACTGGGACCTGAACTTAGGTCTTCTTACAAGTGCAACTAGTGCTCTTAACAGCTGAGCCATCTCCCCACCCCAATAGAGAAGGTACAATTATTGCCATTTTACAAAGAAATTGTTGAATGTAAAAGGCAGAATAACCCAGATTTCTCAACTGTCCGGCTTGAGTGTATCATCAGATACTGCACTGAAAACTCAGAGGAGGAAGGGCCAAATTGCTAACAACACACTGACTCCCTGTACTGGTTAGGCATACCTACACACTTCTTTAAAAGATTGAACTTTTTTTCCTTAGATAGAGAGTTTCTTTGTATATCCTTGGCTGTATATTGATTTCTTTGTATATCATGTCTGTAGATCATGTTGGCATTGAACTCACAGAGATATTCCTACCTCTTCCTCCTGAGTGCTGGGATTAAAGATGTGGACATTAACCTACATAAGGCTGTTTAGTGTTTTTCTCTGAACCTTGGACCTTTAACATCCCTAGTTCTTCAAATTTGAAGAGGCTGATGCAGGAGAATTCTTAGCTTATGACCAGCCTGGGCTTGATAGCATTATCTCTTTCTTAAAAAGTAAAACAAGAAGCTGATCAAGTTCCCTATTTTTTCCTGACAATAGGGTACCTTTAACTTACAATGCTGTTGTGTCCTGATAGACCAGAATTGGTTCATGCGTAAACTGTACATATGGCTGAACTCTGTTGTGGGATACTTAACTTGGCAAAGATGTGTTACATTTGTTTATGTTGCAGAATATTACTTTAACTATGTGAAGGTATGTTACATTTGTTTCTGCTGCATTTGTTTAATTATGAAAAGATGTGATGCTGTTTCGCCTTGTCTGCCTATGGCACCTATTTGATCTAATAAAAAGCTGAAAGGCCAATAGCTAAGCAGAGAAAGGATAGGTGGGGCTGGTGGGCAGAGAGAATAAATAGGAGAGAAGAGAAGCGAGAAGAAGGAGGAGCAAATGAAGGAGGATGAAAGAGGCCACAGAGGAGGACATACAGAAATAAAGGGAAAAGCCCTGAGGTAAAGGGTAGGTAAAGAGAAACCAGTTAATTTAAGTTAAGGAAAAGAAAGCTGGAAACGAGTCTAAGCTAGGCCGGGAGTTTAAAACTAATAAGAAGTCTCTGTGTCATGATTTTGGGAGCTGGTTGGTGGCCCTAGAATAAAAAGCCTGGTACCCTAACTAGGTATCAGAATGTAATAAATTTTTAAAATCCACTCCAAACAGAAGGAGCATGTGTTAGTAGCAGTAGTGTAAAATTATTATTTCAGTAGTCTTAAAAAATTTAGGTACTTATTTTCTGTGTGTGTGTGTACTGCCTGCATCTGTCTGTGTACCAAGTTCATGCCTGGAGCTTGTGGAGGCCGGAAAAGGGATTTGGTCTGCTGAAACTGGTGTTACAGATGGGTGTGAAGCACTGTGTGGGTGCTGGGAATTGAATCTAGTTCTTTTGGAAGAGTAGCTAGTGTTCTGAACTGCTGATCCATCTTTCTCCAGCCCCATGAAATTAATGTTGCATGAGTAACTTGTATTTTTCTTTAAGTAGCATGCCTGCTAGGATAAGAAACCAAGCACATTCTCCCTTCTCTTAGATTTTCCTAAGATGGTGTATTGTAGCCATCAATATTGTTATCATCAATAGCATTATTATTGAACTAATGATCACATCGTCTTTCTTTATTCACACAAAAGTAATCTTTAATTAAAAAACACAGTGCTAAGCTTCTATTAAAAATTCAATATATGTGTGTGTGCGCGCACGTGCGCGCTAAAAATCTCACACTGACACTTCCTTGAGATTTGTATGCATTTGCTTCATACTAAAACATGAGGTGCTCGTTACCCATCTTTCACGGGAACTTCAAGTACACGGCTGTTCAGAGGCTTTGTTTTTGAGGCTTAAGCTAAGTTATGTTGACTTGTTTTACATAGAATCAAGAGATTATGTCTTTTAAAAGGACATCTTATTAAGTAATTGAAAAACAAAACCAAACTAAACCACTGCCAGTTATAAAGGCAGTTAATGAATTTATATTTCGTGTCTTCATATAAATGGAATGCTACGACATGCGTACTGTGTGTGTTCCTTTGAGTCAGCCAGTCGTTGAGATGGCCCCTTAGGGGATGATCTTAGCTCTTATCAATGACTGGAAATCTGTAACTTCCCCAGACTGTGACTTGAAGTCTGTTTTACTATCAGTTTATTCTTTGGTGCTGGCTCCCTCTGTAGAACTTCACTAATACTGCAGCTTGATTTTTCAGTAATGTAACAACAATTAAGTTATTATGTAGACTAGATTGGGACCTTTCCTTGAAGTTTTAGTTAATACTTAATCAGTTTCATGTGACATTTTGAACATGGAGTCATCCCTCAAGCCCCCCCTTTTTGTTGTTGTTTTGTTTCTTAATGTTTACCATTATGAAAATACTTCCCACAGTAAAGGTCCCCCAATCCATGCAATAATGCATTAACTTGTATTATTCTTGAAATTGTTTTATGTTAGAAATTGTTTTAATGAGAAATTAAAAATATTGCCTAAATATCACAAGTAATGTAAATCCTTCACTTTGGTTGCTCTCTTTATACTTTTTTTTAAGCAGAGAACAACAAAAAAGTTTTCCTACAACATTTCAATCAACCTTCTTTATAAGTACTTCTTACTTTAGCAACCTCTTTGTATCAAGTTTACACAGTTACTGTAGCTGCTCTTTTGGGTTAAGCTATTTAAAAATGAATTTTAAGATTCTCTAATCAGATATATTTTCTTTTCTTAAATATGTTATTCTGGGCTTTGAATGTAGCTCAGTGATTTTGAGTGCTTACCTAGCCTTTGCAAGGCTCTGTGTGTGTGTGTGTGTGTCTGTATATCTGTGTATATGTCTGTACAGTGGGTAAGAGCATAAACATTTTAGGTATTGGAACTCTCAAAAGCCGTGGGATTTGCTGCACCCCTATCAGAGAGCTCCCTCCTGCAGTAGATGGGACTTAACAGAGAGATCCACAACTGGACAACACACAGAGGTGAGAGACTTGGAAACACTTAGTAGTAAATGGGATGTTTTCACCAAACCCTTCCCCTCATGGATCAGTAGTTTGTGCTGAAGAGAAGATGGGAAGACAATATGAACCAGAGGTGGTGGGTGACTCCAGACACAACAGGACTGATGGCACACACAAACTAGAGACACTGCAGTGGGTACAGGATCTGCACAGGTTGCAGCCCCAAGAGGGAAGCAGACAGGACTCTCACTGCTAAGCCCTGAGAGGGAAGCAGACAGGGCTCTCACTGCTAACCAAGAAGCTCTCTACAGTTGATACCCTCTGGTGAAGGGTAAACCAGTTCTCCAATGGAGTGGATATATCAGCCACACTACAGGGGAGGCCCCATGCTCAGGAATTGTTGATCAACCAAAAATAAACTGAGTAGTATTTTTGTGGACTTTTTGTTTCATTTCATTTTGTTTTGTTTTGGCACTTTTTTTTTGTCTTATTGGTCTTTTGCTTTTTTTTTTTTTTAAGAGAAAATTTGGTGGGTTGGGAGGTAATAGTGGAAATTGGGAGGAATAGTGGTTTGGGGAGAATTTGGTGGAGGGAAAAATATGATCAAAATATATTGTGCAAAAAAAGTTTTTCAATTTAAAAAATGCCATGAGATTTTTGTACTACTCTTAGGAAGCTTTTGCTCACAATTAATTCATATGTGGGAGCCCATAGTAACTCTGTTTCCATCTTGACTTAAGGTCAGAGAGTTCAAGCTTGTCAAGGCCGAATAACAGGGTGTTTGGCCAAAGGCATGACTACTAGATGTCTTGCTCCTCAAGAGCAAATAACAGGATGTTTGACTAAGGGCATGTTGTAATGGTTTAGGTATAATGGCTCAGTTTCCCGAGGGGCAGCCAGGTCCCACCACCCAAGACCTCTGTGAGTCCCTGGCAGGTGAGAAACCTTGGTGGGGCAGCCTGTCCCACGAGGACCCTCAGCTGGTGGGAGAGAGATAGGCACACCATGCAGAGAGGATTTGAGTATAATTTATTCAATAAAAGGGAAGGAGTGAGGGAGAGATGTTGTTCCCAGATAGTGAACCCCAGGGAGACCACCAAAAACCAGAGAGACCACACTGCAATAAGCAAGGTTTTATTTGTAAGCACAATACAAGCTAGCTTCAGAACTCGTCTCTACATCCTGTAGTAGCGAGGTAGAGAGGAGTTCGAGCTCCTCTGTGGGGTTAGCTTTTAAAGACAGAAGATACACAAGCAGCCCTTCAGGGCGGTTAAGGGGGTTTGACATGAGTGCAACTTTTTTTACTCTTTTCCATCCTGCTATGTCAGCTTCTTCTTTGTTTTTAGAGCAAGGTTACTCTGCTGCCTTTATTACTAGGTGGCTGCGTGTCCTTGTGCTTTGGAATTTCCCTGGTGGGAGGGGGGAAGGAAAGCACTATCTTTCTGGGAATGTGAAGCTAGTCTGTGTTTTTAATTGTAAAACATTTTGCTAGGAAATTCTCCTCCCTTTGAAAATAAGGGGTGAGGGTCTCACAAGAGAGACAGAGAAACAGGGAGGGAAAGGGAGAGAGAGGAGAGGGGTGAGAGGAGAAGCTGCCTCAGGCACCTCTTCCAAAGAGAGAAGGGGCAAAGAGATGTAGTGGTAAAAACAAAATGGTGCTGTTCCCCACGGGGCCACAAGGGACAGTGGGTTACAGGCACTGAGCGCAGTGGCGGGTAAGAGACCTTGGTGGGTCAGCCAGTCCCATGAGGAGCCGGGCGGCTAATAGACAGAGATACACCATGCAGAGAAAGTGAGTATTTATTTAGTGGGTTATAGAGGGGATTGGGAAAGGGGGTAGGAGTGAAGGGGCAAGAACAGGGTTGGGGGGGGGGGGAGAGGAGAAGAGAAGCTGCCTCTTTGGGAGAGAGAGGGAAAAGAGAGAGAGCTTGGGCTAGAAGCAAAAGGAAGATCCACTTACCTTGGCAGACAGGGGAGGGGGTGGGTGGGGCTTGTTTCTTAAAGGGACAGGACAGACCATTGCATTCCCATCTCTCTCTCTCTCTTTTTTTTAATAATAAAAAGGCGGAAAGTTAGGCACAACAGGTTAAAGGAACTGGGAAGGCAGATTTTTGTTGGAGAGAGTGAGCTGCTTCTTGGTTTCTGGCCACAAGGTTAGTTTAGATCCGAAGTAATCACACAGAAACTGTATTAATTAAATCACTGCTTGGCCCATTAACTCTAGCTTCTTATTGGTTAACTCTTACATGTAAATTTAACCCACTTCTATTAATCAGTGTATCTCCACGTGGCTGTAGCTTAATGGCTTAAGCTACATTGCGACTCTGCCTCTGCCTCATTTCTCCCAGCATACAGCCTAGCTTTCCCCGCCTAGTTCTGTTCTTTCCTGCCATAGGCTCTAAACAGTTCTTTATTCATTAACCAATAAAAGCCACACAGAGACAGAAGGACCTCCCACACCATTTCCCCTTTCTGTTTAAACAAAAAGGAAGACTTTAACATTGTAAATTATATGTAACAAAACAGGACTGGAAAGGACTCATCAGGTACCATTTAGAGCTTTCTCAAGGAACATCTTGATTGACTGGCTAATATTTTACAAAGCAAAGAGCAGAAATGTTCAGACTGTGGTTCTTTGACCGCTAGAATTCGTACCATCTAGAACTTGTTAGAATGGTAGCCATCACTCAGCCTGCTCCTGTTCTGACACAGAGGCTGGGACCCAGAAATCTGTTTTAAGAACCCTTGCAGATGATTTTGGTGCTTGCTAAGATTTGAGATCTTGTGACAAAATAGCACATTAAGATGTTAACCATATAATCCCAGCATCCACCCCAAAGGCAAATCTGAAAAATTAAAGCTGAATTATGTATGTTAGTCAGTCTTCTCAGTAAGACACTATCTACACCTAGATTACAAGACTAAAAGACTTTGCCTACTTTAGCAAGGAGACCCTTTTGAGACTAGAACTCAATATCATTCACATTTTGTATAATGTTTGCATGTTTACAAAGGACCAGGTATTAGATTAAAGATAGAAACTATATTTCATACTGTGAACTCTAGGCATATAAGGATTTGTAATTAAATTACTTTATTTGGTGATGAATTGAGTCTGGTGGAAATTACTGAGCTACTCAGGTTCACCATGCTGGATATAAACAGTGCATGGACTAGAGAAATCTAGATCTCTCCTTTCATAGACTGGCATGTTCTTTCTGCCCCTAGGTTTGCTTGACCTAAATATACCTTATTTTTCTTGTTAGTGAGCCTCTGAAAGCCTTGATTGACCAGAATATAAAAGAGATAATCTAGGACTGAAAAAATGACTCAGTGGTTAGGAACACTGACTACTCTTCTGGAAGTTCTAGGTTCAGTTCCCAGAAACCACATGGCAGTTTACAACTGTCTGTATCTGTAGTCCAGTGAGATCCAATTGCTATTTCTGATGTGTCTACATATGTTGACTGAAGTTTCTGCCCCTCCTGATTGCACAACCGTTCAGCTCTGAAGAAACACACAGAGGTCTACATTAATTATAAACTGATTGGTCCATTAGCTCAGGCTTCTTATTAACTAATTCTTATAACTTACATTAGCCCATAATTTTTGTGTGTGTTAGCCATGTAGCTTGGTACCTTTTCCGGCAAGGCAGTCACATCTTGCTTGCTCTTTGTCTGGCTTCCTCTGTGGATGGGTGACCACTGCAGACTGAAACTTCCCTCTTCCCAGAATTCTCATTGCCCTGCCTCTACCTCCTGCCTGGTTGCCCTGTCTATATTTCCTGCCTGACTTCTGGCCAACCGGCGTTTATTTAAAATACAAGTGACAGCGTACAGACCATTGTCCCACAACATACATATGTGTAAACAAAGCACTCATATACATAAAATAAAAAGTTCTTTTCTAAAATGCTTTTTATTGTGAATTAACTTTCAAATAGGGATAGAGAACAAAAATCAATTTTGCCCACCAATCTTAAGAAATAAAATTTTATAAATCTCTAAATAGCATGGAGTATTGCTTTGTAGTATTAAAAACTATTTTTTTGTTGTTATTGTTGTTTGAGACAGAGTTTCACTACATGGCTGTCACTGCCTGGAACTTGCTGTTTAGACCAGACTGGCCTCAAACTCATAGAGCGCATGGATTAAAGCATGTACCACAAGACCAAGCCCTAAAAACAATTTAAATGTTTTTTTTGACATACATGCAATTTCCATACACACACACACACACACACACACACACACACACACACTTATACGGTTTTATATGATTCTGTCCACTGTGTACTAATTTTCCTAGTGAAGTTTATTCTTAATTTGCTTCATTATCTTTCTTATAATTTTGCTTAAAACAAACTTTCCTCATGTTTCTTTCTTTGGTTCTGTTACATCTGAGTTCATATTTGACTTTATGTATGTATACATGTGTACATGTGTGTTGTTGTTTTTGGAGATTCATTTAGATTCTATAGCAAGACACAGAGAAACTGACTGATATAGTCACTTGTGTATGGCAAAGGCATATCTTTGGAAGGGCCTCATTGGAGAATGATTTAATTCTAATTAGTCTTTCTTTTTGTGGCCCCAAAAGTCAGCACCTACAGGTCTCGATTTTCTCAGTTAGGATTTCCCAGTACTATACCAGCAATGGCCAAGTCTTGGCTACCAGCATACCTGTGGGCACAGGGAGGAAATGCCAATGAGCTAGGAGTTTATTTAAATTTTTTTAAAATTAGAAGTAGACTTTCATCTCTCTTCTCCTCTCCTTCTCTCCCCTCCCCTTCTTTTCCTTCCTTCTTCCTTTCTTTTTTCCCCTTCCTCCCCCTCTCTTTCTTTTTTTTTATGGTTTATTTAACTTTATTTTATGTGCATTGGTGTGAGATCCCCTGGAACTGGATTTTCAGACAGTTGTGAGCTGCTATGCGGGTGCTGGGAATTGAACCCGGATCCTCGGGAAGAGCAGTCAGTGCTCTTAGCCGCTGAGCCATCTCTCCAGCCCCCTTTCTTTTTCTTTTGATTCTTCCAATAAATCAATTTGGTTTTTACTTGTGTCTTCTCTCTGGTTCATTGAGCAGCTGCCTTCCATTCTTTTCCTGTAAGTTTTGGTCTGAGATTTTCTTTAATGTGCTTATTTAATTGTCAATATTTCTTTTGTTTTAAAGTTTCATCTTACTAATGACATGATTTTTGCAAAAATAATGTTCTCTTGAATTTATTAACATTTTAGTACAAGGAACAGATTTGAAGTTTATTTTAATCTTTTGTGTTAAGGTGAAAGTCAGGGATCAGGATTTTTTTAAAAACATAAAATACAGTTTTTTATGCAAATTGATATGTTTAATTCTTTCACAGGAAAAACGGAAAAATTAAAGAGAAAATTGCATTATCTGAAAAGTTCTCTGTAGAAAATAAATCATTCAGTGCCTTATCTAGGCATATTTTATATATAACATAATATGTAAGCATATTTACATTTATAATTTATATTTATTTAAATATATTTATATAAAACTTAAACCAAAAAAGTAATAGATACTTCTGTCTTTTCTGAGAAAGAGTGCTTATATTTTATTCTCTTCATAAATTGTACAAATTTAAGTTTTGTATTAAAATTGCTATTTAAAATTTATTGAAGAGCACAGGCTATGTTCTGTGGTGATTTTAGTTTTATGGCATTAAAGTAGTGGTTAACTACTATGGATTAGTGCCATAATCTTGATTCAGTTGTCAAGTGTAGTTCTTGATAACTTGATTTCATTATTCATTTGTAATATTTTATTATTTCCTCTTGTTGCACAGTTTTGTTTTGGGTTTTTTTTTAAGAAATACTTACAAGGTCAACGTGGAAAACAAAGGTGATAGCCACCAGATGGTGCTCTTTACCTGTTTTACCTATGACATGATTAATAAATGTATAATTTTAAAGTGTGGAAGACCTAGAATTTGAACATACTATTGGGGGGGCATAACTGAATTCTGCAGAAGGAAGTATTCAAATACCATAAGTTCGAATTCATTTCTGTGTCAAAACCAGTAAGGGTTGTAATTAACATGTTAGAGAAGACAATGCTTCTGATAGTTTGTTTTGTTTGTTTTGACAGTGGAAGCAAACTTAAGCAGGCTGCGCGTGTGTGTGTACATGTGTGTACATAGACCTCCATGGTCTCACTGGGAAACCCGGGTTGATCATGCTCTCAAGTGCTAGCCTCATGGATGAATACTCCCCAGAGAAACCATTTTTCAGGTATCTACAGTTAAACTGAAGTCCACCAGACTATAACACTGAGCACTACTCCTGACCTGAGAAACAACTTCCTCCTTTCCGTTTTTTAAAAGAAATTTTTTATGTGTGTTGTTTTCTTTATATATGTCTGTACAACATACTTGCCTGGTGCTTATAGAGACCAGAAAAAGGCATTGAATTCTCTGGCACTAGAGTTATAGATGGTTGTTTGCTGTTGTGTGGGTGCCGGGAATAAAACCTGTGTCTTCTGCAAGAGCAACCAAAGCTCTCAGTCACTGAGCCATCTCTCCTGTCGGTCCTGCTACTCCTTCTTGGTTTTGTTCTTTTATTCTTACTTTTTTATTTATTTTGATACAGGGTCATATGTAGGCCAGGCTAGTTTTGAACTTGCTCTATAGCTGAAGGTGGCCTTGGACTAATGATCCTACTACCTCTACACCCCAAATGCTGAGATTACTGGTATTGACTACCATACTCAGCTAGAGAAACTTCCCTTAATATGTTTCAAGTTAGATGTATTCATTTTGTGTGTGTGTGTGTGTGTGTGTGTATATATATATATATATATATATATATATATATATATTGGCATGTGTACCATAGCAGGTATGTGGATGTCAGATGCAGCCTATAGAAGTTGTTGGTTCTTTCCTTCAGTTATATGGGTCCCAGGGATCATTTCAGGCATGGTATCAAGTGTCTCTATCTGCTGAGCTATGTTGTTCACCCATGGAGAAACTTCTAAATCTAATAATATTAAGTCAAAATAGTTTAGTTCAGCACAAAATCATATTAATTGCAACTTATATGCTTAAAATGAAATTATTTACCAAAACTTACGTTTCAAATTTTCTTTGTATTTTCAAATAAATATTACTGCCCAACTTGAGTTACAGTTATTTACTGATGTGAGATTCCTCTACGTATGCTGTGAATACCATTGGTTAATAAAGAAACTATCTTAGGCCTGTGACAGAGTAGAGTAGAGCTAGGCAGGGAAAACTAAACTGAATGCTGGGAGAAAGGAGGAGGAGTCAGAGAAGGCATGTAGCTCCACCAGAGACAAATGCTGGAACTTTACCTGGTAAGTCACAGCCACATGGCGATACACAGATTAATGGAGATGGGTTAAATTCAGATGTATGAGTTGGCCAGAAATATGCTTAAGCTATTAGCCAAACAGTATTGCAAATAATATGGTTTCTGAGCAATTATTTCGGGCCTGAGCAGCCGGGAACAAACAAGTGGCCGCTTACAAAACTTTGCAAGTTAAAGGAAACTATTTCATGTGTTCTTGACTGTTTCCTAAAGGAGAGAAAATTAACATTTTTGTTTGAGTCTGTGTGTCTGTGTGTCTATCTATAGGCAGATTCTCACTATATAGCCCAGGATGGCTTGGACTTTGTAGTGGCCCTCATTTCTCCAAGTGTGGGCTATCATGTCTGATTAGAAAATTAGGCTTGATCACCAGTGAGTCCCTTAATTTTATAAAGAAGAAAGATAGCTTTTGTAAATGTCCTTATATGTTAGGAACACAATAGCTATGTAGTGTGATGATTATGAAGATACACCAGTTGAATGACCATTATAGTTACAATCGCTCCCTGATGAAATACTTTTCTCATTGAACTTAGATAGCCTGACCATAGGAGATGGTTTTAGGACTTAAACCAGGCATGGTGGTACTGTCTGTAAGCCTTGTGCTTGGGAGGGCAAATCAGGTTGGTTGGGTCCAAGGGACAGGTGGAGAAAGAGGAAGGGAGGAAACGAAAATAGATTTTTAACATTTTATACTAATTGTGTATGTGTGTGTACCCACTGTGTGTGCACAAGTGCAGAGGACAGAGAGAATATCTAGTGTTTTCTATCACTGTCTTATTCCCATAATGCATGTTTCTCATTGAACCTGAGACTAGGCTGACAGCCAGGAAACTCCTGGGATTACAGATCCAGGCCCAGATACACCTGGCCGTTTACATAGGTGCTGGGGATTAAAACTCAGGTTTCTCTTGCTGGTGCAGCAAGTACTGTTGCTCCGCAAACCATCTTCCCAGCCCTGTTTTAAACTCTTTTAGTTTTCGAGGCAGGGTTTCTCTGTATAACAGCTCTGGTTGCCCTGGAACTCACTTTGTAGACCAAACTGGCCTCGATATCACAGCAATCTGCCTGTCCCTTCTTTCCAAGTGCTGCAATTAAAGGTGTGCACCACCACTGCCTAGCTCTGTTTTAAACATTTTTAATGCCCACATCATTGTATATTTGTGTTTGGACATGATTGTAAAAGATAAACGTAGGTACTATTGGAAGTATTTACCAGAACCATTGTTGTGTGGCAGCTATTTTTAGGATGTATGAAATCAGTCGGTAAACCGCATGTGTTCCTTATCTGTTCTGAGTAGCGGCGACAGCGATGCCATGACTGTGGTCTTTACATGTGCTGCCGAGGCGAGGAGCCACTGTGCTGCTTCATTGTTTACTGCGCTACCCTTTTGCCGTCATTTTGGTCGTCATCCGTCTCTTCTAGAAGAATGTAAACTTCATGCTGTTTCCCTCATCAACACCATGTTGTGCATACAGTGGAAGACTTGCATATCTAATTATTTGTTATACTCTAACTGAATAATTATGGCAAGTTGGTCAAAAGGAAATTATTTAACTTTTCCCTTGAGTTGAGATTTACATAATGATGATGAGTATCCTGTACTTTTAAATCTACTTTTCTGAAATCTATTAATATTATTATTTGTAGTGCTTGGGCCTTTTGAGGGCCAGCAAATAACTCTACCCTGGAGAAACAACCCTTCTCCCATAATGCTTTAATATTGATGGCTTACAAGGTTTATGTCACTGGAATTTTTGGATTCAAAGTAATGCTAATATATCCACTTTCTCAGAGATTTTCAGTGTTGACCAAGGTATTGATTCTTGTTAGAAATGTTGGTAAAACAAGAATTTATGACTAGTTGGTTTGTATGTCCTTTACAATTCTATTGGTATATGTTTGGGTAGATTGTTAAAAATAGCTTTTTTCTATGTGTTTAAAAGGCAGTTTGGTTTAGCTAATTTTTGCTTGTCAATAAAGCTGAGAATTTTCTGTTTTCTTGTTTTTATTTTTGTTTTCATTATCCTGAAGTATGCTTTTTGTTTATACTTTTATAGACTATTTGAAGAGATAGAAATTGCTAGCAGAGAATTGTAAGAGAAGACTAAATATGATTAAATATTTTGTGCCTTTTATGATCTATTTATTTCATTTTAAGTATATGAGTGTTTTGTTTGTATGTGTATGTGTGCACTACCTGTGTGCCTGGTACCCATAGAGGTCAGAAGAGAGCATCTGACCTCTGCCTGGAACTGTAGTTGTAGACAGTTGTGAGCCACCATGTTGTGCTGGGACTTGAACCCAGGTTCATAAGAGCCAGTTTTCAGCCCATAGTTTGTGTTTTTTGTTACTGCTCTTTTCATGTCTTCCAATAAAGTGAACGATGCCATAAACAATATTTGTGTGAATTCTTCATTTGTGCGACTTTTATTAGTGGTATGGTCCTTTGCCAAATAATGGCTAAAATGATAACTACATTACAACATTTGCATCTTAATTTTATGTTTTGTGGGTATAGGGTAATGGTTTAGGTTTTTTTTTTTTTTTTGCTGTTTCTAACGTTTATATTTGCATGATAGAAAACATATGGATTTGCTGAGTGGTGGTGGTGCATGCCGTTAATACCAACATTTAGAAGGCAGAAGCAGTTAGAACTCTTGAGTTTGAGTCCAGCCTGATCTACAGATTGAATTTCAGGATACCCAGAGCTTCACAGCAAAACCTTGTCTTAAAAAAAATGCCAGAAAAAAAGAAAGAAAATACATGGTCTTAATTTAATCAGTTTAATAAAGAATATTGAATAAATATTCCAAAACATTAAATATATATGGATTATGACAGCATCACGGGCCTTCCTTTCATCTGAGTATTTGTTGTCATTTTGTTTGCTCATGTATTTTTTTCTCTTCCCCATTCTTTTTCTTCATCACTACTCCTCTGAATTCTATTGTTCCACTCTCTCCTTATTTGATCACAGAATGGTTATGCCAGAAGAGCAGAGGTACACCCAAAACGCAAACACAGCTCTGAACATTTTCAGTAGCTGGTGTGGTAGATGAGCAATCTCTGACTGTGCTGATTACTGGGATAGAACTGTGAATAATATTCTGTAAGAGCAGCACATTCTTGTCCCCGGTGAGGGAACTGGTGACAAGGGGATGAGACAAGCTGTCAAAGAGATAGATACATTGGGGTGAATTGTGAAGGAAGATTAATAATTATTGGCTTTAAGGGTCCAGTACGAACCAAAGAGAGGTTATTTTGGTAGCCTAAGTAGAGGGGTGTTTGTGAATACAGAGATGCCTGTGTGGGAAGTGTCTTGTGAAAGAGTGAACTACTATATAGGAGGTTAAAATACATTGTATCCCATGGTGTGATGAATGAGAAGCTAAACATGTAGGTTGGGGTCAGAGTGTGGCAGAGCTTTACACAGAAGCTAAAAGTCTTGTGTTTTTATGAGAGGTGGTTGGGATTTGTGGGACATTTTTAGCAGCAAACATACTTAGTGTCTATTTTGTGACCTGATAGTCAATATAATACAGATTGAAGCAGAGTTGAGGGTAGAGGCAAATGAACTAGTTTGAAAGATGTTCATAATGTAAAGATTTTCATGAATGCAGTAATATACATATTATGATAAGGTAGTATCAGCAGTAACTCTAGCTCAGAGGAGATTTAATGAAAATACATTCAGTTTAGTGGGGACAGTGCACACATGTAATCCCAGTGTGGCAGGAGGATTGCCAAGAGTTTGACACTAACATGTCAAACTCTTGACATGAGTTTGACATGTTAGTGAGTTCTATCTAGGCCAGCTTAGGCAACAAAGTGAAACCCTGTCTCTAAATAGAAAAAAAAAAAACCCAGCAAAATAAACTAGAAACATCTTCACCACAGCAAAAGTTCAGCAGCTGTGATTGGGCTCTGATGAGAGCCCATGAAGGGAGGTTTTTTGTTTTTGTTTTTGTTTTTTTTTTGAAACAAGGCTTTCTTTTTTTAAAAAAAAATTAGTAATTTTAATTTTATGTGTATTGATGTTTTCCCTGCCTGTATGTCAGTGTGAGGGTGTCATATCTTGATCTGGAGTTACAGACAGTGTGAGCTGCCATGTGGGTGCTTGGAATTGAACCTGGGACCTTTGGAAGGAGGAGTCAGTGCTCTTAGCTGCTGAGCCATCTCTCCAACTCATGAGGAGTCATTTTGACATTTGTGTAGATAGAAACTAATGCTACTAACTTCAGAAAGAAAAGCAGCATGGTTTGAGGGAAGGAGTTTGGGTTCGTAATTTTTGGTTTGTAATCTGTAAACTTAATGGAATATTGAAAATATTAAGTTGTAAATGGAAGACAATTACCTGTGACAGAGACAGAATTAGCTCCTCATTATGCCAAGTCATCCTCTGTGTGTGTGTGTGTGTGTGTGTGTATTATTGTTTTTATTGAGCTTTATATTTTTCTCTGCTCCCCTCCCTTCCTTCAACCCTCTCCCATGGTTCCATATTCCCAATTTACTGGAGATTTTGTCTTTTTCTATTTATGTCCCTTTTAGGGTCCTCTTTGTTGTCTAGGTTCTTTGGGGTTGTGAATTGTAGGCTGGTTTTTCTTTATTTTATGTCTAAAAGCCACTTATGAGTGAGTTAATAATATATTTGTCTTTCTGGGTCTAGATAACCTCACTCAATATGATGTTTTCTGGCGTCCTCAGTACATTTTAAAAATAAAACCTGGGAGGGTAGAGATAATACTTTTTTCATTTGAAAACCTAAATGTTACAGTTATCACAAAATTTCAATCCTTATCATTTTAATTTGCTAGAGGCTAATAATATTAACTATTCCTACAACACCTAGGTTAAATGCAAAACATTTTGCCTTTATTATTTCATTCACTTCTCCTAGCAGCATGCATGAGTTAAAAAAAAATGGTACTCTCTAGAGTTTCAGGAAGGAATATATTTACTGCGATCTTTAAACATTGGTCAGTCTAACTTTCAAACCTAGGTTTCAGCCATGCTATCTGCCTGTCTTGTGGGTGGAAGAGCTGTGATGGATCTAAACACCACACCCAGCCTTGCTCTGTAATCAGATGTATGTCATAGCTAAAGATTAAAAATATGTAATTAATGTCAAGATTAGCTATCTAATTTCCTTAGTAAAAAGCTTACCCAAAAAACCATTCATTACTGTGTCCTTGTGGTAGAATCTTTTTGAAAAATTGTGTGTGTGTGTGTGTGTGTGTGTGTGTACTTATCCCACTATTATGGGACTTGAGTAAATTCTCATTACTCTAAACCTATCATAAATTACCCCACTCTCCTTCCGTGTCATGTTTAAACATTGGCTCATATCTGGCCCATTAGTGACGTATAATTGGTGAGATTGAGGAGGAGTTCTGATGAAAGTCCTGGAAAATTTTCACTCCTGTTTCTTGCCATTTCCAATTTGATGAGTGTTTATAATTAGGGGTATTTTTTGTAACATTTTCAGAATTGTTTCAGATAAAACCAAAACATTGATGACAGTGAAAATGAAAGGATGTTGAGGTCTTAGATCCTTAATGATTTGTTCTGCTGTCTAATTACCATATCTTAAAGCTGTTCTGCCTTAGAACACTTAGGTCTGACATGAAATTAAAGGAAATTGTGCTGGGGATTTAGCCCAGTGGAATAGGGCTTGCCTTGCATCTACACGACTCTTTTATTATTTTTTGTGTATTACATGTATCATTTATACCCTAACTCTGGTAATGATAGCACTGAACAAATTTCTCTGTGTATCCCTGGCTTTCCTGGAATTCACTCTGTAGACCAGGCTGGCCTTGAACTCACAGAGATCTGCCAGCCTTTGTCTTCCAGGTACTGGGAGACATCACCACCAGACTCACAGGGTACTTCTTAATATGATAAAATACTTTTAACTTGGGTTGAGGAGATTGTTCAGTGGGTGTGTGCTTGCTTTGCAAGCATGAGGACATGAGTTCGAATCCGCAGCATCCACATAAAAAGTAAACATGGCTGTGAAGAGGACTAAGTTAACATCAGTGCAGACTAACAATACCGGGACCACACGTCACTGTTATAATAACCAGGAAGAAAAACAAGCTGTACCCTGCAGGGGACCTATCAGAATTGAGACAAACACGTACTAAATGTTCCAGAACTAAGAACAGTGTATGTAACTTGGATATAGGTTATCTATTTCCTTGCAGCAGTGCCAGGACCAATCACTGTCTGACAAAACTTCTGTTATCTCAGTCCTGCCCAATGGGCATTGTACCCCCATCTGAATCTATTCCCCTAACCCCCCATCTTTTACTTCTTCAGAACACTGTCTCAACTCAGCTTGAGGCTCACTGATCCAACCGCTGCTTTGGAATGGACAGGGTCCAAGCTCGAACTTGTAGTAAAGGTTCTTTGCTTTTTCATACAAACTCTGACTCCTGGGGATCTCTGAGGGCTTCATGACTTGGGTATAATAGCCTGCATGTGCTGGAACCCCAGCTGACCCAAACTGCAAGCGTCACTTAGTTTGAGAGTGTCTCAAGGCAATGGAACAAAGCTATGGAGGAAGAAACCTCACTTCTGTACTTGGTGCGAGCTTCCTGCTCTGGGCTCCACATGAGTGGGCGTGGTGCTTTATACCACACACCATATGCATTCATTTGCTTGTTTACCAGCCTCTGTGCCCAAAACCAGTATCTTACTTATGAGGAAACACTTGATACATTCCTCCTAAGGTGAGCAGTAAAGTACAGTTGTATAGCTTACACAAATACTTAACACTCCTAGAGGTTAAATGCAATGATATTTGGTGAAATAAGTAGAAATGAAACCGCAGGTGGTATACTCATGTGTTTGAAAACTTTACATAATCAAAACTACAAGTAACATAAGAATTCATCAAAAATACATGTACAATGTAAGCATTTGTGTATTTGAATATTTGAAAACCTTATTTACAAAGTGAGAACGAGAAGATAAAATACTTAGTGTAAGCTTAC